TCGCCGTACCCTGGGCGGCGGGTGGGGGCCATAATGAGAATGGGGGGGGGGACCTACTGTCCTCCCCCCCCGCCCCCACCCCTGGGCGGCGGGTGGGGGCCATAGTGAGAATGAGGGGGGGGGCAGTACTCCCCCCCCCGGCCCCCACCCCTGGGTGGCGGGTGGGGGCCATAATGAGAATGGGGGGGGACCTACTGGCCCCCACCCCTGGGCGGCGGATGGGGGCCATGAAGATAATGAGGGGGGGGGACCTACTGGCCCCCCCCTGGCCCCCACTCCTGGGCGGCGGGTGGGGGCCATAAGGAGAATGGGGGGGGACCTACTGCCCCCCCCCGGGCGGCGGGTGGGGGCCATAGTGAGAATGAGGGGGGGGGACCTACTGCCCCCCGGCCCCCACCCCTGGGCGGCGGGTGGGGCCATTGAAAGGGGACCTACTGCCCCCGCCCCCACCCTGGGCGGCGGGTGGGGGCCATAATGAGAATGGGGGGGGGACCTACTGCCCCCCCCGCCCCCACCCCTGGGCGGCGGGTGGGGGCCATAATGAGAATGGGGGGGGGCTACTGCCCCCCCAGCCCCCATCCCTGGGGGGGGTGGGGGCCATAATGAGAATGGGGGGGACCTACTGCCCCCCCCCCCCCCCTGGGGGATGGGGCCATGAAGATAATGAGGGGGACCTACTGGCCCCGGCTGCTTCCTGGTGGTGGGGGCCATGGGAGGAAGGACCTGCGCGGGGGTGGGGGGTAGGTGAGGTGAGGGGACCTACCTTTACGGCCCCACCCTTGTGGCTGGTGGGGGCCATATGTGAGGAATGGAGACCTACTGCCCCTACTTACCCTGTGGTGGTGGGGCCATATTGAGATGGGGGACCTGCCCCGGCCCCTGGTGGTGGGGGCCATGAGATAATGAGGGGGGACCTGCTGTCCTCCCCCCGACCCCCACCCTGGGCGGGGTGGGGGACTAAGTCAATACCCCCCACAAGGTGACTAGGGGGCCCCTAGTCACCCACCTCCCCACCCAAATAAAAAGTCCCTACCTACCCCCTCACCCTAAAAAATAGTGAGGGGGGGATAAAATAACTAACCTGTAAAATAAAATTAAACTTACCATTCGACGTCTTCTTTTTTCTCAAATCTTCTTTTTCAGCCCCAAAAAAGGCCAAATAAAAAACCATCATAACCGTCGAATTGAAAATAAAATAAAAATCCCGAGCGCAAAAAAAACCCGAAGAAAAACCAGGCACAAAAAAATAATCCATCTTCACCCATGGAGGGCTCAGCGCAGACTGAGCTCCTGCAGGAGCGGGGGAAGGCTTATAAAGCCTTGCGCCCTGCAATTAGGCTAAGAACACTCTGATTGGTGGGTTTAAGCCAATCAGAGTGTTCTTTGTCATTTTACACAGCGTGGGAAAATTCAAAAGAACTTTCCCACGCTGTGTAAAATGACACAGAGCACTGTGATTGGATGGATTTCAAGCCATCCAATCACGGTGCTCTGTGTCATTTTACACAGCGTGGGAAAATTCAAAAGAACTTTCCCAGCTGTGTAAAATGACACAGAGCACTGTGATTGGATGGATTTCAAGCCATCCAATCACGGTGCTCTGTGTCATTTTACACAGCGTGGGAAAATTCAAAAGAACTTTCCCACGCTGTGTAAAATGACACAGAGCACTGTGATTGGATGGCTTGAAATCCATCCAATCACAGTGCTCTGTGTCATTTTACACAGCGTGGGAAAGTTCAAAAGAACTTTCCCACGCTGTGTAAAATGACACAGCACTGATGTGGATGGATTTCAAGCCATCCAATCACAGTGCTCTGTGTCATTTTACACAGCGTGGGAAAGTTCTTTGAATTTTCCCACGCTGTGTAAAATGACACAGAGCACTGTGATTGGATGGCTTGAAATCCATCCAATCACAGTGCTCTGTGTCATTTTACACAGCGTGGGAAAGTTCTTTGAATTTTCCCGCTGTGTAAAATGCAAAAGAACACTCTGATTGGCTTAAACCCACCAATCAGAGTGTTCTAGCTTATTGCAGGGGAGGCGGGGCAGGCTTTTAAGCCTTCCCGCTGGGACTCATTCTGCAGCAGCCTCCATGGGTGAAAGGGCTGAATTGGCCCTTGCGGCTCAGGTTCCGTCGGGATTTTCGGGTTATTTTGGCCATTCGGCGATTATGATGATTTGGCTTGGGGCTGAAAGATTTAAAAAGAAGACGTCGAATGGTAAGTTTAATTTTATTTTACAGGTTAGTTATTTTATCCCCCCCTCACTATTTTTTAGGGTGAGGGGGGTAGGTAGGGACTTGTTTTTTTTTGGGTGGGGGGTGGGTGACTAGGGGCTTGGGGACCCCTAGTCACCTTGGGGGGTAATTGACTTAGGGCCCCCACCCGCCGCCCAGGGGTGGGGGCCGGGGGGGGGCAGTAGGTCCCCCCCTCATTATCATCATGGCCCCACCCGCCCAGGGGTGGGGGCGGGGGGGGCAGTAGGTCCCCCCATTCTCGATATGGCCCCCACCCGCCGCCCAGGGGTGGGGGCGAGTAGGTCCCCCCCCATTCTCATTATGGCCCCCACCCGCCGCCCAGGGGTGGGGGCCCAGGGGTGGGGGCAGTAGGTCCCCCCCCATTCTCATTATGGCCCCCACCCGCCGCCCAGGGGTGGGGGCCGGGGGGGGGGCAGTAGGTCCCCCCCCTATTCTCACTATGGCCCCCACCCGCCGCCCAGGGGTGGGGGCCGGGGGGGGGGCAGTAGGTCCCCCCCCATTCTCCTTATGGCCCCCACCCGCCGCCCAGGAGTGGGGGCCGGGGGGGGCAGTAGGTCCCCCCCTCATTATTGCCCCCACCCGCCGCCCAGGGGTGGGGGCCGGGGGGCAGTAGGTCCCCCCCCCTCATTCTCACTATGACCCCCACCCGCCGCCCAGGGATGGGGGCCGAGGGGGGCAGTAGGTCCCCCCCCTCATTATTGCCCCCACCCGCCGCCCAGGGGTGGGGGCCGGGGTGGGCAGTAGGTCATTTGGTCTCCCCCCCTTATTTTATTTTAGGGCCCCCACCCGTCGTTTAGGGGTGGGGGCCAATAGTTTTTTTTACAGTGAGCAGCCACAGGCTGCTCACTTTTTACCAGACATGCCCCTACTCGCAGTATAGCGAGTAGGAGCATATTACTTACTAATACTAAGTAATTTTTACTTGGTATTAGTAAAGTTGGCTGAAAGACCAATTTAGGTCTTTCAGCCTTTTAGTAGATAACTCCCTGATACCGTGTGAATTAGGGAGTAATCTACTAAGCGGCTGCAAGATGCAGCCACAGCAATGAATAGGATCAGAGTTTCATTCATTCAAATGAAATTCTGATCCGAATAAAGTGCCGAATTGCGTTCTAAAAGAAACGAACAGACTGTTCTCATTCAGTTAGAACGCAATTCGGCAGTTTTGTGTAAAATGACAGGAAGCATTGTGGGAACACTGAGGAAAGCTAGGGATCATGGGAAAATTGCTCTGACCAGCGGAAATGAAGCACACTTTGCTCCTCCGCTGGTCAGAGCTGGTCAAGCGGAGGAATCCTCCATAAGGCAAAGAGTCCCTACTTTGTCTTATGATTTTAAAGAAAACTAAAGAAGACAGGAAGAAAAGAATAACAGATCCTGAGAGAGGGGGAGAAGAGGAAGAGTTTGAGGAAAGGTAAGTTCGGCATGACAGTGCCGCTTTAAGGGGTTAAGCTAATCTTGGAAATTATCAACGTCTAGCCTCTTGTCTTGGGTTTTTTTGTAAATAAAAATGAAGACGTACAACTATACAGACATGAGGCGTTAGAGATAGGACATTTTACACTCAATGGTCTCTTCCCCTTGTAGGAATGTCAGGGGGTATTATAATATCTTATTTTGCTCATTGCCGCCACTTGTGGTCCATGAGTGCTCCTATGCTGTACAATTGTACATAATGAACTAGAAGATAGAAATAGAAGTAAAAAGAGAAAAGAAGAGGTGTAACAAAGAGGATTGAGCAGGGAAAAAGTGGGGGAATGTGAGAGATGGAATGTGAGAGATGGAAGGGGGGAAATTTTATCCGATCTCTGGGGCAGTTTAACTGCGAGTATCCCCCCCCTCCCATCCTCTAGTCGCTAGCTGTGCTGGCCATCCAGGGGCCACAGGTCCGTTCAAACTTATTCACGGATCCCTGGACCTGTGCCGTTAATTTTTCCATGAGGAAAGTGTCTTTTATTTTTTGTATTACCGCTGGGATTGTCGGTGTCTCCCTTTGCAGCCATACCTGTGCCAGTGCCCTCCTTGCAGCCAAGTTTAGTTTATGTAAGAGGTTTTGTTCCGCTCTTGTCCAATTTTCTATAGATCTGGCCAAGAGAAACACCCATGGGTCTAGTTTGACCTCTTTTTCTCCCACGAACACCGCTATCCGCTTCCAGTAAGCCTGTACCTCTGGGCATTCCCACCACATATGGATATAAGTTCCTTGTTGTCCGCATCCCCTCCAAAGCACATTCCCTCAAAGAATGTAAGTGGTGCTAGGGCAGCTTTCTTAATTTGCGTATTTTGAGCATAATCCATTAACTGTATATATCGAAAGTAGTCAAACAAGCTCTACGGGGCTCTAGTTCGAAAGCCACCACCGAACCGCTCTCATAGAGATATTTCAATCTCTGCAGTCAAGTGTTTTCAATCCCTCTAAAATCCCGTGCCGCCATTCCGGGTGGGAACTCTCTATTCCTCAGGAATGGGGTCATCGGAGAAGGGGAGGACACTAAGCCGTATTTAGATGCAACATCATCCCATATCTTAATAGAATTTAATATAGCGGGGCATGCCACTTGAATAGTTGGTCTATGCTCCCTGGGTATCCACATCAGAAACTGTGGCAAGTCCGTTCCCAGGAGGGAGGACTTCAAGTCCACCCACCTTCTCTCCTCTGGAGGGGAGTGCCATAAGGCTCTCTGGGCTAGTTGCGCTGCCGTGTAATAATACTAAAGGTTCGGTAGGCCCAATCCCCCTCTGTTCTTTGCCCTAAAAAGTACATTACGTGAGACTCTAGGTCTCTTGTTCTGCGAAATGAACTTGCCTGTGGCCTGTTGGAGTGTCCCCAAGTTAGATTTAGTCACTCGGACCAGGAGGGCCTGGAAAAGGAACAATATTCTGGGTAGGACATTCATTTTAACTGAATGTATCCGTCCAATCCATGAAATCGGCTTGTCTAACCATTTCTCCATTTCTCCATGTCACTTATCAGAGTGCGACTCAATGGGGTATAGTTGAGTGGGATCTGCCGTCAGCCTAATACCCAAATATTTAATGTAGTAGAATTTAGATCTTTAATCATAATTTTCATGGCTCTAGAAACATCAGTGAAAGCTATGGCTGGATGACATCCTGCATTGGCAGGAGTAAAGATTTGGACAGGTCTACGTCCAGTTTTGATACATAGGCTTGCGTAAAAAAGCCGAGTTGTCAAGCGATAGCATCATCCCACAGGCTACCCTGGAAATAGGTGCATCCACCTTAGGTTTTGTAGTCCAGGGGGTGCAAGTACCTTCCTCCACAGGGTAACGTCTGGCCTCTTTTTTTCTTACCTCTAAGGCTTCTGAAATACCTTGGAACTTCCTTTGTAAGTCATGCTAGCATGTCATGTGGCTTTGCAGGTATAGGTGATATTGAAGCGGCTACCTTCTGAAGACATTAAGTGCATAACTGTTTTCCTTCCACTGCTTTCCAATCACAATCAGAACATGGTATAGATTCAGTCAATACACTGTATGACAGACCGCCTGGCACCCCGACTGGGTGCCTCCACCAGTCGCTGCTTCCTAGTGCTTACCGAATACCACAAGCACCACACCAGACACCATCAGCACCGTAGTCCCCACTTCCAGCGTTACAGCTTGGCTGGGGTCTTGCCATCCTCCATCCACCCTGGACCCAAGACCAGGATCCAGCTTCCAGTGGGTAGACCTCTACTACTCCAGAGAGTGTAGCAGGCTGCTCTTACAAGAGCATGTGATTATAACCCAGAGGAGTATAGTGATATAGCAATCCCCAGGGTAGATACAGCCGTTTCCCCCCACCCATGAGATGAAGCTCTATGTTGAGGGTAAGCAGGAACTCCTTTAATGGTAGCCATAACTGGCCTTTTAAGTCCCCATGCAAGGGGCACTCCCACCTGAACCTGAGAGTAAACCACAGTATAAACAAATACACAACCACTCTCAGATCCAGGACACTCCCATATATAATCAGATAATCCCTCCTCTGTTTTACAAACAAAAACAACAATATATGTGAACACAACCCCAGTGAAAAATATACAATTTGAAGCAAACCAGGACTTCCCTGTAATTTATGTGAAATATCCAGGTAAATCCCCAAAGACTTCCTCTTGTCTTCAATAGGTATATACAAATAGAATAGGGGATGATCTGCTAAATGCAAATTAAATAGAGAGACATAGCGTTTAACGGAAATTGAACACCGGCCGAAAATCTTTGAACAATCAATGGGGATGTATAAAAGGACTGTGGGAGGGATAATTTTGATTGCTGCTATTATTATTATTGTATTTTATTTCACCAAGTCCCTGAGGAAGTCCAATTGAAGGACGAAACGCGTAGGACGTTTTCATGGTGACATGCTGTTTGTTTTATATCTTAATGTAAGTCATTAAATTACTTTTTAATATACTCTGGAAGTGCACTACATTTTGTATATTTTTTCTCTTTTGAGTTATATATACCTATCTGCCCATGACATGTGAGGAGGGACAACACAGTGGATATTGAAGAAAAAGGATATCATTCAAGGCTTTTTCACATCAAACAATTTGTGAGTGACCAATTGTAATTGCACACTGTTACTAGTCCCCACACAGTTAAATGCTATGTCTCTCTATTTAATTTGCATTTAGCAGATCATCCCCTATTCTATTTGTATAAATCCCTCCTCTGTACCTGGGAGATAATTGAGTCATGTACTGTATTAACTCAATTATCTCCAGACACAAAAACACACATTTTTATAACACCCCAAAAATACCTTTAAACCATACAAACCCCCCACAAATGTTACATCCCCTGATAGCCCTGATCTGGGTGACCAACATATTTAAAAAAATCACCCAGATCAGTTCAGGGGTTCACGAATTTCCTGGAAGTAATTTATTTGACGGACCGAACGCAAATCCCATGCCCAAAATAGTTCCAAAGAATCAGGCTTGCGAATAAACTACCGAACATAGTCAGTGTTCTTACCCTGGAGCTTGTTCCCCTCATCCAGACGAACTATTCCAACAGTGCCCTTCTAACTTGTGTAGAACCAAACGCAGGCGATGATTGAAGTCCAGCGGTGTTCGGGAGTCTGTGTCTGATTTTAGTTCCATGAGATTACTGCCCAAACACCGCTGCCTGCATTAATGCGAACAAGATAGCTGCCACACGTGGTTGTCCATAGGAATTGCGGCCACCCAGACGAACAATTAGAACACTGCGATGAGAACCGTTCCAAAATGTTAATAGGTGTTAACATGCTCCCAGTTGGTACCTGGTTCGTGCGTGTGGCAAAAGTAAACTCGCCACAGGCTTTTGGAGAAGCCGGTTTGCCAGCCTCCTGCCCTGTGACTATGGCCCCTTGTAATAAACTTTGGGTTAAAGACACTGTTTGTGCCTTTTGGACTTGGAATGTTATTTACTCTGTAACACTTTGAACTCCCGAAGCGGTTCGAAGCAGCATACCTTGTTCGAAACACATACCTTCCACTGATGTTCGGCTATTCGAATAGGAATTGAACAGCGTTCGGTGGGAAAAAACTCCTATATGTTCGGTATTTTATATTCTACTTCGAATCCCTGAAGTAGACCGACCACACAGCCTGATTTCCTGGAACTCTTTTCGGACAGTAGTTTCGTGTGCGGTCGGTCAGAAATAAGACTTTCATAAAATTCCTCTTGCTTAGATGTTGCAGCCTCTGGGGACTTTAGATGTTGCAGCCTCTGGGAACCAAAAAAGGTGTGTATATGTAACGACAGATCATGTGACACTTAGATTGCACACAGGTGGACATCATTTCACTAATTATGTGACTTCTGAAAGTAATTGGATGCACCAGAGCTTTTTATGGGCTTCATAACAAAGGGGGTAAATACATACGCACATGCCAATTTTTTGTTTTCTATTTCTAAAAAAATTTTTATGTATACATTTTTCTCATTTCACTTCACCAACTTAGACTATTGTGTTCTGATCCATCACATAAAATTCACATTAATAAAACATTGAACTTAAAAGACCACTATAGTGCCAGGAAAACATAGTCGTTTTCCTGGCACTATAGTGCCCTGAGGGTGCCCCCACCCTCAGGGACCCCCTCCCGCCCGGCTCTGGGGAGAGGAAAGGGGTTAAAACTTACCTTTCTCCAGCGCCGGGCGGGGAGCTTTCCTCTCCGCCTCCTCTCCTCCCATTCGGCTGAATGCGCACGCGCGGCAAGAGCTGCGCGCGCATTCAGCCGGTCTCATAGGAAAGCATTTACAATGCTTTCCTATGGACGCTTGCGTGTTCTCACTGTGATTTTCAGCAGGGCCTGCAGATGCATATGTTTATAGTGGTACTCGATATATGTATATATGCACATTGGTGGGTAGGGGGCCTGGGCACGCAGAGAATTTCCAATGCAGTTCGTTCCCCCCAAGAGCGCCAGGCCAGTGACAACTGTCATGGTTATCACCCCCTGATGCTGACCCTGGTCTTTATGTAAATGTAATAAGCATTTGCAGAAAGTTTACAGAAAGTCCAAAGCCAAAACAAATAACTACAAGCAAGTATATGATCACAGTTCAGAAATGGACACGTTTATTGTAATTAATTGTCCCAAAACATTATGGTCCAAGCTCCAAATCAGTTTTTCTGCAAGTATTAAGAAAGAAAGAACAAACGAAAGACAGAAATAAACAAGCTGCATGGTTTAGTTCAGGAGATCTAACAGAGGCTTCTAAGCAGGAGTTTCCAACTCTCTTTTGGACGTAGTGGAGGTGAGGAGTGGTGTAAGAATTTAAACTGTTCTAAGCTGGATTACCTACTGCTACTACAATAGGTGATTGACAGAGCTGTGGTGATTATGGTGCTTGGAGTGTTCCTTAACATAACAGTTGATGGTGTTTAACCCCTTAACGACCGATGACGGTCCTGAACCGTCCTAACGGTCTGAGTTACTTACCTGCAGCCCAGACAGTCTCCCCACACCGGATTAGGACCCCTGTGGCCATGTGATCGCTCAACACAGCGATCACATGGTCACAATAGGTGTCCGTGTGTCTGCCTGCAGGGGGACTGCCTGTGCTGACAGGCAGTCTCCCTGCTAGTGTAAAATCAGTAAAAAAAAATAAAAATTAAAGTTAATGTTAATAAAAAAATTAAATAATTATATATGTGTATATATGATATATAAACATATATTATATTTATATAATATATGTCTATATATCATATAAATATAATGCCATACTAAGTGTATTTTTATATTAATATGTACTTATAGTAATATAAAAATACACTTATAATTAAATTACACATGTATATATATAATATATATAATAACTATATATATGTATATATATATTATTATAAAATATAAATAATAAGTAATTTAAATTAAATAATTTTTTTTTAAATAATAATAAAAATTTTAAAAAAATTATATCTATATGAAATTTCTAACTGTATTTTAAAATTAATATATATATTTATATCAAAATACACTTAGAATGAATTTGTATATATATCTATGTATATATAAATAAATAAAAATAATACGAAATATACATATGTCCATATACAAAATTACATAAATAATTATATAAATATACACGTAGACTTCAAGTATATAAATATGCATATATATTTAAATTCTACGTGCGTATTTATGTAATATTTTTACATAATTCAGTAATTTTATTGATTGCAATTTGAGGGACCTGCCTGCCAACCCAGGCCGAAATTCCAGAGAATTTAATTTGCTAGCACTGTATTTTACCCTGTAACGTTCTACGACACCCTAAAACCTGTACATGGGGGGTACTGTTTTACTCGGGAGACTTCGCTGAACACAAATATTAGTGATTCAAAACAGTCTTTTTTAGTAACCACTTGGTCACAAACACTGGCCAAAATTAGCGTTCAATTTAGTTTTTACTTTTTTCACACACAAACAAATATGAATGCTTACTTTGGCCAGTGTTTTCGACTAAGTGGCTACTAAAAAAGACTGGACATACCCCATATTGAATACCCTGGGTTGTCTACTTTAAAAAAAATATGTACATGTGGGGTGTTATTCAGAGATTTATGACAGATAATAGTGTTACAATGTCACTATTGATAAATTTTAAAAATGTATGTTTTGAAACCGCAATATCCTACTTGTACCTATAGCCCTATAACATGCAAAAAAAAGCAAAAAAGCACGTAAACACTGGGTATTTTTAAACTCAGGACAAAATTTTGAATCTATTTAGCAGTTTTTTTCATTCGCTTTTGTAGATGAGTAAAAGATTTTTCAAGTAAAAGTCAAAAAACATGTATTTTTTTCAATTTTTCATCATATTTTTTTATTTTTTTTAAATTAAAATACATGAGATTATATAAATAATGGTATGTAAAGAAAGCTCCTTTTGTCCTGAAAAAAACAATATATAATTTGTATGGGAACAGTAAATGAGAGAGCGGAAAATTACAGCCAAACACAAACACCACAAAAGTGTAAAAATATGCCTGGTCGCAAATGTACAACATCGCAAAAACAGTCCAGTCCTTAAGGGGTTAAAGGAACATTCTATGCGCCATAACCACTAAAATCTGTTGTAGTGGATATGGAGCCAGGAGTAACATTTTCTTGGAAGCCATTCAATCAAGACAGCCAGACACAAAATTCAGTCATAGATACATACGTCTTTACAATGATCTCTTCTGCCTTAAAATAGCAGTCGTCAACATGGGGGCCAACACAGATTTCTTTTTTTGGTGTCAGGCTTTTTGATTAGTCACAAAATTATTTTTAGGTTTGATTATTTTTATTATGGACTTTTATTTTACCTGTTTTGAAAGCACTGAAGAATAGAAGATTTTAGAATTTTTTTTTTTTTACAGAAAAAGGATACAGAAAATCCTCTACTGCGGTCCATTCGGCCACGCTACACCCGGACATTACGCCCCTGGGCCGTTGCGCCTTCGGCGACTGCCTAACTTGCCTAGAGGTTACGCCGGCCCTGTATACAATGTACTTTTTTTTTTTTACTGAGGTTGAATTTAAAGATGATTAACCAAATGTGAAACAACAAAATATATTGCTAAATCATTGCACTGATGCTATTAAACCTTGACAGCACTTGAGGGCACTGTTAGATGGAATTTGTATGATTAGTATGGCTCAATGTTAAATTAGCAACAGATTAAAAATAATAATTCAAATAAAATCATATGGTTAGATTAGTAATCCAAACCAACACAAAATGTTGTTAGATTGGATCTCAGAAATAGCTAATGAACTGTCATATCGAACTTTCAAAGCTGTCTGTACATTATATTGATCATGTTTGAATCTGTTAATTGTTTTACTATAAAAGAAATATTTCTGTCTGTCCTTGTGTATTTTAGACACAGAACATAAAAAAGCTATTTATTAAATAACCATAGACTCTTCTGTGCAGAATGAAAAGCTGAGAGCTACTCTACAAATCATATAATTTGATTGTCGGCTCCGATCACGTTATCTGCGGTTTTGTTTATTTTGTGGTCTGTAAGGATTTAAATGAAAATAATAAACTTAACCAACCCATTGCTTGCTTTAGCAGTCAACATTTTATTTTATGTTCTGCAGGCCACATTTTGTAGGCTCAGTCAGGGCCCAGTGAAGGAATTAATGTAGAGAGGGCCCTGGTACAAAAAAATCATTTGGGGCTCCTCAAGCTCAAGAATGGCACAAAGGTATTTCGTCATCTGTCGTACAACAACCACATGGCTATGACAGCTGGGGATCTACCATTTGCCCATCCTTGTAGGGTTGTTTTTCTGAGCAGTGGTTGTGCATTTGAGTGCAAGCACGATTTTGTATAGAGTATATGTGTGCTTGTATGGATGTATTTGTATGCACTGTACCCATGCAAGGGTGTACTCGGGCGTAGTGCTTGCATTAAAATTCAGGGGTGTGTTCATATGTAGTGTTGGTGTTAAAATAAAATAATAATAGTATGTTTGAATGTAATGTTTGCATTTGATTGCAGGGGTATATGCATGTATGCAATGTTGGATTTTAAATGCTGGTGATTACAAGGGTGTGTTTGCATGTTTTGTTGGTTTTTGATTGCTCAGATGTATGCACATACACACAACACTGCCACATATATACTTAGTAACGCAGATATACATACACATTAATGCACATAGATACACACATATGAACACACTGACACATACACACTCAGATGCACACAATGACATATACATACATACACACACCTTGAAACAAAGATGCAGGAGGGTGGCTTGTTTGGGTTCCTGCTACTGCTGGCTAAGGTCGATGGAAGTGGGAGGTCTGGAGCAGCTCTCTACTCTCTTCTCTCCCCTCAGCTGCCTGTGGCTCCATCTCTGCCTCCCGCACAGTGCTCTCTCTATGCAGCGAGGAGGAAGTAACTGGCACTGACTTCCTCCTGGTGCTGCCAATGTGAAAGAGGCCAGTTACACTGTTAAAGGGCCATAGCGCCTGACCGGGCCTCTTTCAGGAATACCCACAGGGCCCATGCTACCACTAGGTGAACTAGGAAGTCTCTTGGGCACATCAGCCTGGGGGCACATCTCTGGGTGACCAGCTAGAGGGGAGTGCACTACACAGTGCTCCCCCTCCTGCCGGTCATGGCATGTAGCGTGGCCAAACAGACCACAGTGGAGGATCTTCTGTATCCTCTACACAGTCTGTCTCAAGCAGTTTACTGAGAGGACCGAACAGCTTCCTGTCAGACCGGGAAAAAGAAAGAGATGATCCTCCACCATGATCATGCTACATGTACAAAACAGACACACAGGGCTGGGGTGGGGGGGAATAACAGAGACACAGAGAAACACAGAAGGGCTGATGGGGACAAATAGCCACACAGAAGGGCTGAGGGGACAAAGAAACCAAGTTTTAATTTGTCTGTAAATCTGTTTAAAATATCGAAGTTGGCCATTTTTATTTTGGTGGATTGCAAGAAGCTGGTCTTGCGAAAGGCACAAAATAGTGTAGCACCGACCCTGAAAACCCATGAGAGTGGCCCTAAGTGCATGGGGCCCACAATGGGCCCCCACAAAATGCGGGCCCCAGTGTAGCGGTAGTTCTGACACTGATTCTCCATAGCATATAAGGAAGTGTTGCTGTCTAGCTGTGCCCTTTTTAGTGAACAGGGGTCAGACCTAAACTCTCTCGCTGAGGACATGACAATGGTAAATAGCATGCATAAGGTCAAGCCATGGTTCAGCACATTTTTCCCTGAAGACCAAGTACTTACATAACACGACTACCTGGATATGTCACTTTTTCCCTGTGATGATGAAAAAGGATGCATAAGGATGCCACTAGTTTAGGAGTTTAAGCAGTTTAGGCTGCCTGTCTGAATGTATCCTAAAGAAAAATTAACCTTGCTTGATTTCCTTTACAGATTAATGCCATAGTTGTTCTTTTGATTGTTTCTTTAGATTAACTTCCTGATTAAACCCAGCTCTGTAGCCACCCATTTATTGTTTATGGAGTATCTCTAGTTCGTTTTACATTCCTTTTCAGTCTCTGTCCATGTGTACTCCAAGTGAATTGTACGATATCTCTATTCAATTGTTGCCTTTTAACCTTGGCTCCGGTGTCCTGACTATGTTTTCGGACCATCCCTTCATGTTTCTACATCACTGACTTCTGATCTTGGCACCAATATACTGACTGTGCTAATGGATCACCCTTGCATGTTTCTATTTTGTTGGCTTACAACCCCAATTTCCTGACTACATTTATAGATCTTCACTCTTGCAGTTACTTGTATTCAAATGGATTCCCTGTCAGCAAACCAGCTCTTGGTAACCAAAATTTGCCTTTGCCAAACTCCTGCACTTCTCAATAAAAAAAAACT